CTGAAATGCACACCAGGGGAAAGACTGACCCACCAATTCTGATGTTGGCACAGCCCAGTGAGAATGCATGTCCAGCCCCAGCCCCCACAGAGCTGCTCTGAGTAACTGTGCAGGGTAACTTCCTCTTGCTCCTCCCGGGGTGCCAGCTCCCTGGTACTCCCTGCTTCCCTGTGGCTCTCCTTTGAGGTCCTCCAGCCAGAAGACTGGGACTTTCTACACCCCACTCTCCTGCACTCCTCCCACTAAGGCACCTGTATCTGTTGGGGAAGGTGGGGAAAAGAAAGATTACAAATAGCAATGAGAGGGGTCAGGCCTCCCACCCTCTGAGAACCAGGACTCCTCCTGTCAGAGAGGAGATTCCTCCCTCTGGGACTGAGGGGCCTTTGGGCCTCTCCTCCTGCAGCTGCTGCTTCTACGAGACCCTTACTGTCTCCTCAAGCCCAAACTAGAGTGCTTCTTCTCCTGGAGCTCCCTCTGTCTGCCACAATAGTGTCCACTTCCTGCTTTCAAGCTGTCCTGAGTCTAGGATGGGGAATAATGAAAGAAAAATTGATGATAAATTGATGAATTGCTGATTCAGTGGGATTTCAAATTCCGGTCTCCTTCCAATCCAGCTGCTACCCTTCACATTTCAGATGGTCAGGGTGTCTCCGTCTCTAACTGGGAAGAAAGAATATGGCAGGGACCCTTGAGGACCCATTGCTAGTCCCTCCACTTAGACCCTGGGCACCTGCTAGGGCATGTGTGGGGCCCAGCTGGCAGAGTGACTGGTGGTGACAGCCCTAAACTGGAGCCACAGGTGAGTGTGAATGTCCCTCCCACAGTTGTGGACAGTGAATGCTCCTGGGTTACCTCAGCCTGGGAAGTGGCTCCAGTGGTTCCCTCCCCACCCCAACCCAGAGTGACCCCAGTGACCTGTGCAATAAGTTACTGGTGTGAGGAGGAGAGGTTTCCAGAACAGGGTGGACACTCCCCCTCTCCTCCAGAGCTGATCTTTCCAACTACTCACCACTAAGTGGAGCTTCCACAGCTCTCATTTTAACAACTGCAGGGAGAGAATCTTCATGCAAACACCCTCCTCACTCATGGGTCTTTGAGAAAACTCTCAGGTGGTCAGGGACGTTGAGTCTCACACAGTGATGCTGAGCTCCTGTCCCCAGGTCACAGGAGAGTCCCACAGCTGGGTGCAGTTCCCTAAGCTCTCCCTCCTCCCTCCAGTGTCCGGAGTGGATTGTGGTACCTCAGCCTGGCATCCACTGGGTCTGCAAGCTGACGTCCTCAGAGTAGTTTGAAAGCAGAGCCTGGATTCCCAACTTGAAACAAGAGACAGGAAACAGAAGATCTTTTAGGGAAGGTGAGATTGAATTCCTCACCACCACACTCAACTCTCACTCTCCAACCACAATGCCATCCAAACCTCCAGAGCAAATGAGCATTCAGGATGCTGGGATCTGCTGCACGGTGGAACGGGTCCCTGATCATGGGAGAAAGTACCCAGACTCTAACCGTCTAGTATGAGGTAAACTGTAGGGGTTTCATAGCTGCACTTTATCGGGTTGAGGAGATGCCCCTCTATTGCTAGTTTGATGAGAGATTTTGTTTTTTTAAACCATGAATGTGTGTTGAGTGGAAGAATGTCTTCAAATGACATTTTCTGCATCTGTTGAGATTGAGATTATCATCTTATAATTTTATTCGCTTAAAGACTGAATGACATTGATTTTCAATTGTTAAACCCATCTTGAATTCTGGATGGACCACTATTGCTATATGGTTAAATTCCCTGTGAATATATCTTGTTATATTTGTGTTTCTATGTTCATAAAAGACATTAGTTTCAAGTTTCATTTAAGGATTTGGTCTATTCATAATATCAGGGCAAACCTGGCCTCATAAAACATGTCGGGGAGTATCTCTTCCTCCTCTGCTTTCTGAAAGGCTTGTGTAGAATTTGTTATTATTTCTCCATTAATGGTGTTAGAATCACCAATGATATTATCTTGGCTGCGACTCTCAGTTAACGTCTCCTCTAGAATGAAATTAGAACCCAAATTCAAAATATCCTGAAAACAAAAATTCTTGTCTTTGTCTAAGAATCACTACTCCTCCTGGGTTTCCAGTTTAGGTGAATTCATACATTCATTCAAAAAACATGTTCTGAGATTATCCGTAGTGCCAGGCAATGTTCTGGGTTCTGTAGACACACAAGTCATAAAACAAACAAAATAAAGTCCCTGTTCTCATGGAGCTTAGATTCCATGTGGGAAACAGTGAACAGAGTCACACACCTTATAACCTGGCCAGTTATCCCCTCGGAATCCAGAGCCCACTCCTGACGGCTGAGAGCCCTCGCCTCCCACAGGACCTGGACACTGACCTCCCGATGCTCTGTCCACAGCCCCCCGCGTCTGCACACCTCCCTGCCCAGTGCCCGAGTGCAGGCACCCATCCCTGCTCTCCTGACCATGCAGACGCCCTCAGTGTGGACCGCCCACCATTCTTAGCTCACTCTATTTCATTTTAGACACCACAGTCTGATGATATTTTAAATACACGTATCTGATAAAGGCACCTCTCTGCCTACATCTCTCCCATAGGCTCCCTCCCTGTCAAGATTAAATAAAAATATTTAGTGCCACATTTAATGTCTCCCTGGGCTTGGCCATCATTTCACCCCCAACCTTTTGCCTCATATTTCCAGGAGCCTTTACAAAAGCAAACACAAGCACCTGGTTGCAAAAAGGACACTTAACACTGGACAACAGCACTCCCTTCTCTTTGAGACAGACTTGTCTCCCTGTCCCAAACCTCGGACTTTCCTTCAGGACCAGGCTTACACATCCCCTCCTGGAGAAGTTCTCACTACAGTGAGATGGGTCAAAGTTTATTGTTAGTGCAAATAATTTACAAGCAGACACCAAGACATAAAGCTTCACCTGTGTGATCACTCTCTTAAGTAAACTAACCATAGAAATACTGAACAAAGACAATGATTCCTATCATCGTTTTTTTTTTTTTCAATTGGCTGTACTTCTTTACACTCAGCAAACTAGAGTTTTAAATTGTATTACTTTATCTTTAAAAATTTAATCTTCCCAACACGGTAAGAGGAAAATAACACTCATGACTAGAGCCAGGGATCCAGGATAAATAGAGATTCTGTACATTTCAGTTCAAGGTCACCTTTAACTGTGATAATCCGGGGAAAACATGACTCAGCAGAGAGCTGGAGAACTATTCCTGATGATTATTTAATTTGAAAACCATGATAAGGACAATGTAGCCCTTCAATAGCCACGAATAGTTTGATGATTTTTTGTGTGTGTGTGAGGAAGATCAGCCCTGAGCTAACATCCATGCCAATCCTCTTTTTGCTGAGGAAGACTGGCCCTGGGCTAACATCTGTGCCTATCTTCCATCCACTTTATGTGGGACACCGCCACAGCATGGCCTGACAAGCGATGCCTCGGTGCACACCCACCCGGGATCCGGGCCCGGGCCGCCAGCAGCGGAGCGCGCGCACTTAACCGCTATGCCACAGGGCCAGCCCCAATAGTGTGATGATTTTAAACACATTCAACCTCACTGGGTTACAGTCAGAGAATCCAACATGTGAACTGGAATTGAATGTCTCGCTCAAAACTCAATAATCATGCAATTCCACAAATGCAATTGCTAATGACTCCGGATTTCTGTGAGACCCTCAATTTTTTAAGCAGTAAAATGACTATACAATGTGGGAATTAATTGTAAAACACTGCTTAATGCCACAACATAAACTAACATGTCAATTTTCCACAAACCTCAGCATCCTCTGAGTGTGAGTGAGACACCAGGGTCTCACCCTGCTGGGAGTGGAGCCTGAACCTGGCTGCTGACCAGCCCAGGACTTCCTGTCGTCCTCACCATCCTCATTCCATCCCTGGTGGAACTTCCCAGGCCTGGGGCATGGCAGCCATTCAGAGCAGAGGGTCATCTCCTGTCCTAAATGTCCCCACATGCCTTGACCAGAGGGAGTGATTCCACCAGAATGTTCTCTCCTGCACGTGAACCATATCACTCTGTGGCGGGAGGGGGAGGCCCCACCCAAGGCCTTGGGAGCAGAGCAAGCACAGCCACTCCCACCCTCCTGTATGTGAAAATATTCTTTATTTCACACATAGAGGCACACAAACCTCTGTGCACACAGAGATGACGGAGGTGGTGAAATCTGGATCACTTGTGCACATGACCTGTGGGTCAGGGTCAAGGTCTTGTATCTCTGTATCTCCAGGGAAATAGTCGATGTCCTGCTTTGTGTGGGCGGCTCACAAATGTTGAATGAGGACGGAGGAAACAGAGGAATGATGGGGGTGTCTGTGCTGTGAGTGCTGTGAACGGCTCTCCAACCTGGAAACTAACACTCCACCAGGTAATGGTGACAACTAGACATGTCCAAGTACAAACTCTCATTTCAAGAAGTGCCTGAGAAAACATTTTACAACCCAGGGGAAGATGTACTGCGGACCAAGACCAGGTAGGTTCTGCAAAGACAGACCATCCTCTTCGACAGGTGCTGAGTCACCAAGATATCTGGGAAGGTGGGAACTCTCAAGGCAGGGTCAGGAGGCTCCCTCTGAACTGGGAGTCAGGCCGATGGGAGGACAGTGGGGACAGGGAAGGGCAGTGAGAGGTTTTTGTCTCACTTCTCCTCTGCCTGTGTCACTGTGGGTTACGCAAAGCTACTCCCACTGCCATCATCTGCCCCCCAGTAGTAGTCAGCCTCATCCTCGGTCTGGATGTTCCAGATGGTTAGGTACCCGTACAGGCCAGAGTCTAAGCCTGGAAAGTGATCAGGGATCCCAATCCCCTGGGATCCAACGACACCACTGGTGCCCACTCACATCAGGAACCAGGGGCCCTTCCCTGGGACTGGCTGGTACCAGCCCACTTTGTAGTTACTGTAGCCACTGCTCAGAGTGCAGGTGAGCTGGGCTGAGGCTCCAGGGAGGCAGATGCAGAGGGTGGCTGTGTCAGCACAGGCTGTGAGAAGGACCATGAATACACAGATACCATTATGTCTTGGAGGAAGGATGGAGGGAAGGACATTCCCAGCCTGTGAGTAGTGTCAGTGAGCTGGGGAGTCAGGATGCTGAGGATCGTCCTGACCTGAGCATTGAAGGGGGAGGGTGAGGAGGAAGAGTGGAGTCCAGGCCACGGTGCAGACACCCCAGAGCTCTGCTGAGACAGACACGCTGCAGGTCTTGCATATCCTCCTCCACCCCCAGGAGAAAGGGGCCCTTCATGCAAATTTGTTCCTCTCCTCTGGACAACCAAACCCCTCCCTGGACCCTGTGTGTCCTTCCAATGACTGGGTGTCATTTTTGAGAGGGGTGGGCCCGGGCTGGGCCTGGGCTGAGGCTCCCCAGGACCCAGAGAGGACCCAGCTGCTGGGCCCAGGGAGCACTGAGCAGAGACCAGGGACAGGTGTCTGGTTTCCCAGCTGAGAGACCCCACAGATGTCTCACATACTAACTGTGCATAAAATAAAATGTACAAGAGCTGAGAACAGATAGCGTTCAACCATGAACTCACTTCCTAGGCTGCTCAGGAAGCCGGGTTTTCTCTTCCTACCTGATTCCTGACTTGATGGGCACATTTGATGGAGTGTTGAGTGTTTGGGAGGATGAATTAGCATGCTGGAGTGATTCACTTGATTCCCTGGAAAATGAGGAGAGACCTGGAAAGTAGGAGGAGAAGGTATTAGTTTGGGTGAAACATGAGAATCCGTAGACTTGAGGTTTTTAGGAGCTAAGGGATCAGAGAGGTTCAAGACAGAGGAAGGGGATGAGAGTGTCAGATTGCAGGGAAGTTCTGGAAACATGTTCCAGACCTTTCTGATAGAAAGACTTTGTAAATGAACTGAGGAGTCACAGGGCAGAGGGCTTGTAGAAAGAAAGGGAGAGAGACCAGTGTTTGGGAAGGGAAGTCCTAGATCAGAGAAGGTGAAGGGGAGAGGGGAAGATGTGTGCACTTTAGAAAAGACCAGAGGAGAAGCCAAGAGGAGACTGGGCAAGAGCTCCAGGGGGTGTAGGCTGTGTGGAGGGTTTGTTTTTGTTCTTTAAAGAAAGAGGAGCCCCTCCCACCTTTGCATCTCTCCTCTGATCAGCTCTGTGCATGGAGTGTGCTTTTATTAATCAAGACTCAGTTCTCTGTCAGAGATTCTCTTAGGTTCTTGCCTGCCAAGGACTCCCCTTTTATTTTTTACTGTCCCTATGGTCTTGTTAATATTAAAACACGTATGTGAATTTTTGGGGGGGACAGGGAATTTATTAAAAACGCAGAATCTCAGACCCCACTCTAGACCCACCAAATCAGAATCCATTTTGTTAACAAGAATATACTTATACTTATTGTGTGAGGAAAATAATCCTTTCCAAAAAGCTATGCGTGTTTAATATTTAAAAACTATTGTATGCAGTACATTTACACGGCTTTAAAATGCACCTAAAAGTAAAATGTAGTCATATCCAAAAGGAGAGATTCTTCCTTTGCTCTTAGCTGGCAAAGTACGTTGTTGGTGGATGCTTCTTTCTGGGAGAAATGGGCTTGCCCTCAGCCCTCAGATCTGAAGCAGCTTTTACTGTTCCTTCTGGAATATAAAACAATTGGGTCTGCTATTCATGGACCAGATTCCCAGTTTTAACTAAAAACTTCTGAAGATTCCATTTCATAGACATTGGAGTGACTTTCCTCCTCGTGACTGGAGTGGATTCCAGAAGTGACAGATGCCTTAAGG